AATGAATAAAAATATTGGTGTTTTTTCTCTGATTTTGAAAACTCTTCGCGATCGACTTAAAATGCTTCCAAGATCGACTTGTCGATCGCGATCGACGGGTTGGTGACTCTACAGTATGTAAAGCCTACACTAGCAAATAACTTTAAAACGGTAGTTCAGAGACAAAATTCTAAAGCTGCAAGCTTGTTTCTCTGGCGCATAAGGTCTATAAATATTTTTTGTATCTGTAATGACCACATTATCCCAGTTATCACACGGCTACACACCAAATAAATATGTGCACATGACATATTTTTAAAAAAAATGTTTAACTGTATTAAATGTACAAAATATTTGGCCTTTTAACAAGACAAACACCATAATAATATTACAATAATGTTTAAACCCCTGAGGTAATTTCTCTACATGAACGGCATCAGTATAGGAAATAAAAACTTAAGTATCAAGAATCAGGAATTCCATAGAGCCATGTATTAAAAACCTAATAAAACTGGTAGTAAAAGTGCTACCCCATACAGACTTCAGTGAAAAATGTATTACAGTAGTTTATGAGGAGAATGGTGATTCAGTGTTCCCTTTCGAACGGTCACTTCGTATTGCGTAGCTATACGCAGTGGGGAAACTCCTTTTCCTCGATTTACTGAAGCCTATATGTAAAACGCATTTGCAGCTGCACAGCTAGCACACTGAGCGTCTGACCCGCTCATAGGCTGTGCTGCAGCAACTGCACATCCAATGGCGCGGGCGAATCTGACGCACGACCAATGAGCTAGCCCAACGTCAGAGCCCGTCGAGGGGGGGTGTGGCCCACCTATATAGACCCCCGAATTCGCCATTATAGGAGATTTTACTCCTTCAGCGACAGTACACATGTCCCTGAGCTTTTTACTGTAGTATTCGCCGTGGAACAAGCCTTTCAGCCTGAGCGAGCTTCTCTTCAGCAGACTTCGCCTGCACGTCGATTGTCTCCTGACGCCGTCTCACCTGTGGCTATCCGGCAACATCCTATATCCTTTGCATTATTATTTTGTAAATTCTTTTCAGTATGCCTCGTTCATCCTGCGCCACGTGCGGAGGCCGTCTGCACGAGGCAGACCAGCACACGAGCTGCATTTCCTGCCTGGGTGTCGACCACGCAGAGAATGCTCTCTCTGCCGGCGGATGTGAGGCCTGCGACAGCATGCCTATCTCCGTGCTGCGCAATCGGCTAGCTCTCTCCCGGGACGGCGAGGCCGCTTCAACCTTGCTTTCCATTCCGAGGAAGAAGAAGCGCGACGACAGCCTATCCATCGCCGCTTCTGAGGACGAGTGGCCGGGCTCTCTCGACCCCGTCACCGCTTCTCAATCGGTGGCCAGTGGATTAGCGACCAGGACGAACTCCGACGCCGAAATGCTTCGGATCCTGACGAAGGCCGTCGCGGACCTCGACCTCGAGTGGGCCTCGCCCGAGGAGCCGCCTCGTAGTCGGCTGGATGGATGGTTTCTGGAGGGGCGCCAGCAGGCCCCGCGTCACAAACCGGCGCCATTTTTCCCCGAGGTCCACGAGGAGCTAACCAAGACCTGGCGCGCTCCATACTCAGCACGTGTGGGATCCGCAGTTTCCGCGACGCTCTCCTCCGTGGATGGCGCAGCGGAAAAGGGTTATGAGTCTTTGCCGCCCCTCGAAGAGGCCGTGGCAGCTCATCTTTGCCCGAACACTGCAGCTAGCTGGCGAGCTAGAGCCGCTCATCCCAACAAACCCTGCCGTAACACCTCAGCCCTCCCTGGACGCGCGTACGCCGCCTCCGGTCAGGCTGCATCGGCCCTGCACACGATGGCCGTGTTGCAGGTCTACCAGGCCAAACTCCTCCGGTCCATGGACGAGGCTGGCCCGGACCCGGAGACCTTTTGGGACCTGAAAAGTGCTACGGACTTAGCGCTGCGTGCTACTAAGTCTACAGCACAGGCCATCGGCAGAAATATGGCTAGTTTGGTCGTGCTCGAGCGCCATCTGTGGCTTAACCTCACCGAAATCAAGGAGGCCGACAAAACGAGGTTTCTCGACGCCCCGGTGTCCAGCTCCGGTCTCTTCGGCCCGGCGGTGAAGGGATTCTCGGAGAGGTACACGGAGGCACAAAAAGCGTCCCAGGCCATGCGACACTTCCTGCCGAAACGTTCGAGCTCCGCGTCCAGCAAGCCCAAGCCGCCGCCTTCGCCTCATCCAGCCAAGCCGGCGAAACAGGCCTCTCAGCCCCGCCCTGCGGCTGATAGCCAGCGCCAGTCAAGGCCCGCGAAGCGCTACCCGCTCCCCAGGCGTCAAGGCCCTCGACCCAGCGCCGTGGCCGACCAGGCGCCTCCGAAGTCGTCCTAGCACGGAGGGGAAAGAGAGAGGGCTCGTGTCTCGCGCTAGCCGGACCACCCTCGAAGAAACCAGCAAAACTTCCCACAGCTCCCTGTTCAGTTCAGGCGGCTGGGGATTTTATTATTGTAAACAGGCCCGCAGCAGTGAGCGCGTCTCTGCAAACAAACGCCGTTTTCACGGCGACCCAAATAAAGCACAAAAAGAGCATGTTTCACAATCACAACACACAGGTTCACGGTCCCCCTTCACTAGGCGGCCCCCGCCCTGTTGTAACACTGACTTCCCCCCGGGCAAAAGCCTATATAGTCAGTCAAACACTCAGTATGTGCACAAATCACATTATAAGGGTATCAGGTCCCCCTATGTTAGGCGGTCCCCCCCATTCAGTGTGTCACGCCCTAGCCACATGAGTGATGGCCTGGCAAGCCAACCCTGGTGTGTCGAGTTGGGTCATAAACACTATAAACACATTCGACCAGAGGTATGGCCTCGTCGTGGGCTTGGTCATCTGGTTTTCCCATTCAAGATATTTGTGATGCGGCCGGCTGGTCCTCGCCTTCCACATTTATGAAGTTCTATAATATGGAGGTACCTTCCCTGCAGGCGAAGGTGCTTTCGGTATGATTGAGACCTGACAGTGGCTGGTCTTATCTACAAAAATTACTGTGCATAATCACATACATATTATATAAACCCGCTTCGGCCGGTAGTAAGGTTATACTAATAATCCCGACGGTGTCTGGTTTTGTTAGTATATTCTGTTAGTTGTTACTGACTTATATATATATTTTTCAGACCCGACTGTGTCTGGTCTGTTATATATACATGTATATGCATATGTTATTGGGTTCTGGCTTGTTCTGTTAGCTCAGGGGTCCTGAGTGGCAGGGCAACCAGTTACTCAGGGTGCGGCGTTTTGCATGGTGTCCCCACTGCGTATAGCTACGCAATACGAAGTGACCGTTCGAAAGGGAACTACTCGGTTACTATCGTAACCTCAGTTCCCTGAGATAGGGAACGAGTATTGCGTAGCCGGCCGCACTATGGTAACTAGTGAAGTTGTCGCTTCAGTCGTATAAACCTGCTATAATGGTGAATTCGGGGGTCTATATAGGTGGGCCACGCCCCCTCGACGGGCTCTGACGTTGGGCTAGCTCATTGGTCGTGCGTCAGATTCGCCCGCGCCATTGGATGTGCAGTTGCTGAAGCACAGCCTATGAGCGGGTCAGACGCTCAGTGTGCTAGCTGTGCAGCTGCAAATGCGTTTTACATATAGGCTTCAGTAAATCGAGGAAAAGGAGTTTCCCCACTGCGTATAGCTACGCAATACTCGTTCCCTATCTCAGGGAACTGAGGTTACGATAGTAACCGAGTAGTTCTTGGCATATATCTAACTTCATTTCATAATCTTTAATGCAAGCATTTATTTTTGCAACCGGGCAAACAGTTTGACCGACATTTACATTAAGCAATTTCCTATAGACAGGTATGCTGTATTCTCCCATTGAGGCTGAATAGTGCAATGAGAACATTACAGTATTGAAAATAGTGTTTGTCTGTGGATGAATGAGATTGATCTAGATAAAACAACAACAACAACAACAACCCAGCAAGCAATTTTGCGTTTAAAAGACTTCTAGCCATCCAAACTCAGCCCTGATGTCTAGGCTAAAACAAGGCAAAATTTGGGCAGTGAAAATACGTCTAACCATAGCCCAAGAATAGAAGCACATAGAGCATGTCAAAGAAATGAAACCAAACACCTTGTAATCACTGGGGATTTCACTTACATGATGTAATATCACACATCTCGCAAGTTATTTAAAAACTAATCAACTAGCATTTCTTTTTCTAGGCCAAAATATTAAACCTTTGATTTCTCTTTACAGGCCTATTTAACAAACTCTGAAGATATCCTGGTTATACAGTTATTTTAAATGTAGCCTAATAGTCCCATGATATTGTCACCAGTATGCGCAGTGCGATTAGTTTTCATGGACTTTAAGTTTGCATTCTTCACATGTGTTTTTTATTTTTTTTTGTCTTTGTGTTCCGCCACTGATTACATGGACACTAACACTAATCATCGCAGCCGTAAAATCATCGTTGATATCGAGTAATCAACGATGAAGGCATTATTCCGGCTATTTTAAAATGGAGTGAAAAAGATGCGTCTTCAAACGAAAATGTATTAGTGTGGTCAAGGCCTAAGATGATTATGATTCTAACATGTAAACTTGCTTTGCCAGTAACAGAGGGTGTGGGTGGATGCTGTTTTGCACAAACTGAACCACACTTGACAACTGTTAGTTGAGAAAATTGCACATCATCTCACAATCTCTCTCCTTCCAGTAAAATCCATTTTCTTTTCACCAATTATTTTCTTTTTTCCTCCACCCCCTGGTTTTAAAGCAATGTTTGTGCCACTTACAAATCTTACATGATTTTACATTTCTGCTTAAAAAGAGAGCTTTCTAAATATTGGTTTGGAGCCCTGTGGTCTCATAAATACGGATATTTACTTAATATTGCGTTTAAATCAATTCACAGGTAACTCAATGAAGATGATTTGAGTATTTCTTTTCTCTCTTGTCCTCTGGAAATATTTGCTTTTCATCATCGGAAATAAGAAAGCTGTTTATGCCACAGGATGTGATTTTTCTCAAGACCTGGTCTGGAGAATAACCAATAGAAGTCTTCTTGTCATTTCTCAGTTTGATTTGTGCACTTGAACTGGAAGGTAAGTCTGAATATAGGCTACATTACGAATAATCTAACTTTTAATGCTGTTATCATAAATATAAAATACATTCTTTAAAAAAAACACTATTTTTAAGTTGCTGAAAAGCCTGTGTAGAGAATGATGCAAAAGCACTGCTTCTTGGGAAATTAGAAAGCTGTGTTAATGCCACAGGATGTGTTTTTTTTTCTCAAGAACTGGTTGGACAATAACCACTTGACGTCATCTTGTCATTTCTCAGTTTGATTTGTGCACAGAAACTGGAAGGTAAGTGCATCTGGACATAGGCTACATTACATGAATAATCTAACATTTAACAAAATTATTGCTTTCATAAGTATAAAATATATATATTTTTTAAAACATTGTGTGTGTCAGATGCAGTGATGATGGGTGGCAATGAGCGGGATGAGCTGATAGAGGACGAGAGAAGTCGGATTATTGAGCAACTGCAGGCAGGTACTGAAATGATAGTATATCAGCAGAGGGCTGAGAGACTCACTGTCCAGGTCCTGATGGAGACCATGCAGGTGGCCTTGATACGCTCCGGCGAAAGGATAGTCACAATGTGTAAGTTTCTTCCTTGAACGTATAGGCTCGACACAATGCAGTGTTTAAGCTAAATTATTAAAACAAATTATTGAATCAAACAGAGTAATGCTTTTTAAAATAGCAGTTTTATTATTGTATAATTATTAAAGTGTGTGGTCTAATTCTGACCTCATTTTTCAGAAACCTTATCTCCTGGTAAGGCTTAAGCCTAGTCCCAGACTAAAATGCATGTTTGAGCTGAAAGCAACTTGCACTTATGTATCTTAAAATATGTCAGTGCCATTGTTTTGTCTCAAGATGCACACCAGTAATGTTTTTTTCAGGCATGTTTATAAGCTATTAAATGTCCAAATTGAACTTTTTAAATGTCCTAATTGAATTTGAATAATTTAGGCCTAATTATAGCTTAATCTAAGCCCTGTCTGTGAACACACATGTGATCTTCAAGCTTATGCAAGCACTGGTATTTAGGTATTTAAAGGAATAATTATACTGAAGATACAATTCACTGAATAATTGCATTTTACTATATGTGTTTGTATATTTGCAGTGGACATTTTTGAGATCAAGGAGGTTCGCCAGGATTTCCAGCGATTTAACGAGAGCATGGGGAATATATTTCGAAGAATCTTTCGGCAGTCTGAAAAAGAGATTCAGCAGGACAGCAAAACGTGTTTCACCATCTTCTATGGATCTGAGTTTATTTTAGAGTCACTGAGTCTAAACGGTATGCAAATGTTTCTCACATATTCTGCCCTACAAAGCAAAAAGGCATTGTAGTAACTATGCAGAGTGCAGAACAGAGAAAAATGACTTTAAAGTTATCCTGTCATCCAGCCTAAGTAGTTGTAGGTAGATTATTGGACATGTGGCTGTTTTGTTACTTTATATTAGCTTATTCTTTGTACATATCAATCCTCATATTTAATTTGATATTTTACCCCTATTTTGCAGTTACTGTATTCTTGCTTTGTATTACTTACCAAAAACGTGGCACCATACGAAGGGAAAAGGCAGTAACTACAGATTCTCCCAAAACTACTTTGCCAAAACTTGGGCTCTGGGTCTGATACACTGTGTTTGAAATAAATGGAACCATTTGGACAACATTTTAAAAAAATTTGTGTTGCGAAACTAGTGTTGCAGAGCGGGCGTGTTACGGATATGTGGTGTAAATTTTTAGTAATCAAAAATCATGTCTAATTAATTGAAATCATGAAACTTTTATTATAAACTATTATTAAACTTAGACAACATTTTAAAAACAAACATTTTTGGTCAAACAACATGCTGCACAATGAGCTTTACTGTTAAAATTAAAACATTGAAGAAAAATTAAGTTTTAATCTTAATTTATTTGTATTAGTGTTAGTATTATTATTACATTGAGACGTTTCTAAATTCTACTGTACAGCAGTAATATATTTCTGTCAAGTTAAACCCATAGACTGTAAAAAAATAGGTTAAACCGAACTTTTATTTTGACGGGTTGCCGTGAAGACCGTGTCCTCATATAGGCAAAAAAAACAGCTCGAGCGTTACACGCGTGTGTGTGTGTGTTAGTTTGGTAGGGGAACAATTAGGGGAAACACTGCATCTCAAACTAAATTTGTGTGAAGTTAGAAGCGTGAAATCGCAAATGTTAAAACCGTCCCGTGAGGATGCCGCGAAATCAGCTGTGTGTTCACCATGGCAACAGTAACTACACTGCGCAGCAACACGGTTATTTTTTGTTAGGTAAAACATAACAAGAATGCAGTAATGGATGTTACTGTACTCTTGCTTTTTTTCACTAGGGCTTTTTGCAGTTACTGTACAAACGACTACCATTTTTCTCCAAAACGACACACATTTGAGATAAGATGTTTTGTCACATAACAAAGGATGCCTTGAATGTCATGAAAATGATAATAACTCATTTTTGACCAAAAATGCAGTTACTGCCTTTTTGCTTTGTAGGGCAGTATTGTAAGTGCACAGCAAAGAGATAGGACTCTTTAAAAAAAAAATGTATACTTCTATTTAGCAAGGATGCATTAAATTGATCAATAGTGACATTAGTGAATAGAGACATTTATAATTAATGCTAAATAATTAAATGCTGTTCTTTTGAACTTTGTATTCATTAAATAATCCTAAAAAATATTGTTTTCACAAAGATATTAAGCAACACAATGGTTTTCAACATTGATAATAATAAGAAATATGGGCAGCAAATCAGCATATTATGATTTCTGACTGGGGTAATGATGCTGAAAATTCAGTTTCGTATCACAGAAATGAATACAATTTTAAAATATATTAAAAGATAAAAATTATTTTAAATTGTAATAATATTTTTTTTACAATATTACTGTTTTTAGTTGGCTAGCTGGTGGAACATCATATGCATATTTTTCACCAGCAAAATTTAACTAAAGAAGTTGGTATTTTTGGTTGACCACAGAAGTCTCGCTGGTTAAGCTAGCTAAAAATTGAGCTAGCGTGATGAGTAAAGCAACACACTATCATCACCAACATCTGTAGAAAAAAACAGCATATGCTGGTAAACAGCTTTGCCAGGAAGTACTCTTACCGGAATCGGGTCCCCATGGAGCACCTGAGGTTACAGTATGTCTTCAAGTGTACCCCGTGGGGAACAATCATGATTTGCTTTTTGCAACCGTCTCACCACTTCATTATGTCCTTATGATAGTGTTGTTGTGCCTTATTCTGTGATGGTACTCAGCTACTGTAACAGTGAATGTTCTCAGAACTTTCGCTGGTAACACATTAGAATACGGTTCCTTCGTTAATGAATAACTACACAAGAACCAATGAGTAACACAATATTAACAATATAGTAACTATTATTAACTAACAAGAAACTCTGATTAATGACTATTGCAGGACAAATGACTAGCACTACATTAACATTTCAACCGCTACTGTAAAGGAATACACAAGGTTGTTTACATTAATATGTAATAGCATAGCAGACTTATGATTTGGGAAAGCTGTTAATAATTGGCCTATGCTGTCTATTTATCAACTGAATCATTTTAAAGAAATGGATTTTTTAAATGCAGTTGTCGGGACCTTACTTGTCCTGTGGCCATTTTTCCGGCATTCCTCTGGACTGGCATTGAATCACTAGAGTCATGGTGAGTACTGGAACATATTGAGTCATCAGCCACCCAAATACCATATACAGTTATTTTATTATTTAACCTACCTCCCGAAAAAATATGTTTTTATGAGTCTCCATTGGTTATTGATTATTAGTTTTGCATGAATTATGAACATTTTCAGTAGGCTTGTTCTCTGGGAAGCATTAAAAAAATAGTAGTTATTGATTAGTTAATAGTGAACTACCACTTTCATCTGTGCACTATTATACTTACTAGTTCGTTAATCAGAGTTTCTGGTTAGTTAATAATAGTTACTAGATTGTTAATATTGTGTTACTCATTGGTTCTTGTGTAGTTATTCATTAACGAAGGAACCATATTCTAAAGTGTTACCCTTTCGCTAGTATTGTGGTAAGGTTAAGGTTCTCTCAAATTTATGAACAAACGTCCTGCAATTATTAAAATATTTGTTCATCATTTATACATTGTTCATGTAACGTTTTTACCTGAAACGTTAGTTGGATGTTAAAAACCGCCAAACGCCATCACTGGTTTTAGAATGTTCAGAGAACATTCAAAAGTAACTTTTCCATTATGTTTGCAAAATGATAAAATGCAATGTTCGTGTAACGGAGGCCAGCTAGTAGTTTCTGTGCGAGTAAACCTCACTCCTCTGATCTCAAAAGGCTCTCTAGCGACAGATGCTAGAGGCTGCAGTCTTTAGCCTCCTTGTTAGAGCGCCTGACTCTCACGCCGGAAACCCGGGTTCGAGGCCCGCACAGAGCGGGGCGAGTAGGACCCGGGTGGAGGGGTTACATTCGCATAACCAAAAACATTTTTTAAATTAAAAACTGGACGTTTTGAACATTCATAAATAACGTTTTTTATACTTTAATGGGAACGTTAGCAAAAATGTTCATAGAAAATATTTTGTTGGGTACATGTCATCCACAGCTGATTCAGTGGAGGATGCAGAAAAATGGCTGACAGGACTGGAGTTACTCAGACAGGAGACACTGGTGGCTCACACACCAGAGATTATAGAGAGGTACACACACACACTTACAGAGAGTGTACCTTGTGTATCTATGAACCGTCCGTAACCCAAATCATATGTTTGTTTCATTCTCTGTTTTTCACTCTACTGTAGTTGGCTGAGGAAGCAGATGTACTCGGTTGATCAGACAAAGAAAAATAGGTTCTCTTCTTTCTCTTTCACCTGCTTTTCACCCAGTTTCATTGTAGCTTATCACCCAGTCTCACTGTAGTCATCTGTTTCTTTTTCTCACAGCATCACCCTGAAAGAGCTCAAGTCTCTCTTGCCACAAATGAACTTCATTGTGCCAAGTGGACGTTTTCTGGAGGACAGATTTGTGGTACAAATAATACTGAAAGCATATCAATGAATTCTACATTTACTTTAATGCATTCGGCAGATGATTTTACTCAAAGCAACTCAAGATGTACATTTTATCAAGAGTAGATTAAGTATTTAATTTTCTTTGCTTAAAAACACATTTAGCATTTATTATAAGTCTGAATGTTGCATTTTCAGGAGGTGGGAGCTAAAGATTATGTCCTGGATTTTCAGCAGTTTATCAAATTCTACAATCTTTTAGTATTTGAAAACCAGAAGACGGTGAGTGCGCAATTACGTTTTTTTTTTGTTGTTGTAATTTTTATTAAATTCTTATTTGAGTATCAGTTCCATTGTATATGATTGTTATTTGTATTATTGAATGGAACATTTACTTGTTTTAAACATGATATAAATATTTAAGAGAAGTCATTTGTAAAACGTCATGGCTAATTTATATTATTATTATTATTTGAATCATTTATTAGTTGCTAGAAGAGTTTGAAAAGGGGCCTGCCGCTTTCACAATGAGGTAAGTGGTTCAGTTTGGTGCTTTAAATGGGCCATTATCATGGGAAATTTAATTTTACTTGTTCTACTTTAAATAAACAAGTTAATTGTACCATAAGAACCATATTTACCTTTTCTATGTATTTCTCTGCAGTAATACTGATAGGCCTGAATCTGCTGTACTTCCCCTCTATGATTTTCAAAACTTTCTTTTATATAGACAGAAGGTAAGACTAATGTATATTATCTTTTATCTATCTAGCCTACTGTGCAAAATGTTGGGGTCAGTAAGATTTGTTTAATGTATTTGAATTAAGTCACTTATGCTCATCCAAGGCTGTCTTTATTTGATATTGTGAATACTGTGAAATATTAAACATTATAATTAAAAATAACGGTTTTCTATTTTATATATTTTAAAATGTATTTTATTCCTGTGATTACAAAGCTGAATTTTCAGCATCATTACTCAAGTCTTCGGTGTCACAATCCTTAAGAAATCCTATTGATTTGGTGCTCAAGAAACATTTCCCTTTATTATTCCCTTAACATATTCCCTTTTTTCTGTCTGTAGGAGAACTGGGCCAAAGATTGTAATAAGGTACAAGAGTTGATGACCATCTTCATCGATGACACCATGAGGAAGTCCAATGTCCCAAAGTTTACTGTTGGAGAGGTACAGGCTATAGAGATCTGTTTAGTTTGACTTCCTCACACCAAATAAATCTTTTTCTGCACCTAAACAAATCAATGCAATTACTTTCTGTCTTTCTAGTTCCTCAGTTTTCTCTTCTCCAAAGAAAATTCAATTTGGGATGAGAAGTTCTCAGAGATTTTCCCACTGGACATGAACAATCCTCTGTCTCACTACTGGATCAACTCTTCTCACAACACGTCAGTGCTGCTGTTCTTCATGCTCATGACACACATGCAGCTCCTCCTCGTCATGATGAAGTTCCTGTGTTACTTTGTGTTTTGCTTTTTTTCACAGATATTTGACTGGAGATCAACTGCGCAGTGAGTCCTCAACAGAAGCTTATGTGCGCTGCCTGAGGCTGGGCTGCCGCTGTATTGAGTGTCAGTGTGTTTCTCAGATATTTTCTACTAAACTTTATATTTTTATTCCAGTTTTGCTTCATATGCATGTAAAGATTAATGTTGAACAATTATATTTTAGTGGTAGGCCTACCAAGATTTTTAGTTGTTTGGAAACTTTACTTTTAAAGCTCCAGTCCGTAACTTTTTTGGGTTAAAAATTATCCAAAATAAATGTTTGAGCAAGTACATAAGCAGCCAGTGTTCAAAACTATCTGCTTGCCTTAGCTCGATTCAAAACGGTAAGCTTGTAATAATGTTTTTAATTCCAGTGGTACTGGTGGATTTCCGCGGGAGATTCGAGCATGTCATTACGTCACATCTGTTCACATAAAGAAGGAGTCTCGGCTAGTCGGCTATATTGCGAGTGAGGATGTTTGAGGTGGAGATTTATAGCCTTTTCTCACAGCACTTGATATAATTCAACTTATCAATTTGATGGCGGATCCAGAAAGGTTCAAAAGACAATCACCAGTGACAACTGGAGATTCACCCGTTGTAAAATGCAAAAGACTTTGGACTGAGAGTTTGGAAAAAGAGACTGCAACCGGACCATGCGAAAACAAGGATAATATCTGAAGGGCATTAAATGTAGTCACACAATGCTGACGTTGTTAACATTAACAATTTGAGAACAAAGTATAATTTGCTCGGTTTGACGCGATATGATAAGCGATCGCTAGATTTAATCGGCGCGATTTACAATGTGTTTTTCCCCTTAATTGGTCAGAAGAACAAAAGTGGATGTTACTTACTTGTTCAGGTGACATTTTAGGGTGAAAATTCTTATATTGGTCATACTTCCAAAAAGTAGAATCTGTGATTCTTAATGACAGTATCCACACCGCGCGGTGATTGACAGCTACACATTCTCCTCAAAACATTGGATTCATCCGCGCTGTGCCATGCCGAGGCACAACTCACGTAAAGTCGATAATTCCGTGGTTGACTGCAATTGCAGATATCGAACAGAGATGGCGACAAAGAGGAAAAACTGCTTTTAAGTAACTTTGAAAGTAACGCAAAAGTACTGAAACGCATTACTTTCTATAAAAAGTAAATAAGTAAAGTAATTAGTTTATTTTTGGGGAGTAATGCAAAATTGTAATCCATTATTACAATATTGCATTACAACCCCAAAAATAAACTACGTTACTTATTTACTTTTTATAGAAAGTAATGCGTTTCAGTACTTTTGCATTACTTTTACTCACCTGGATGAGGCTCGTTCTCTTCCAGCCCTTACAGGTGTTTTTTACTGAGAAATTCTTTTTTGCAAGTGTTTAACGCAGTAAACAAAGCCTATATTACATACATTTACATTTTCTTTTTTAAAACACATTTAGAATATTATTATTTTCTGACCACTTGGAATATTTCGTGACCCCTAGAGCTATGTGTACCATAATAATCTCTTAACATTAAAGGGATATTTCACCCAAAATCTCACCCTTATGTTGTTTCAAACCTGTATGTATGAGTTTCTTTCTTCTGTTGAACACAAAAGATGATATTCTAAAGAATGTTGGTAATCAAACAGTTGACGGTAGCCATTGACTTCCATAGTAGGAAAAAATACTATGCAAGTCAATGGCTAACGTCAACTGTTTGATTACGTAATGCATGTTACTTGTAATGCGTTACCCCCAAAACTGGTTATAATTAATATTGTTTTATATCAGGCCCTATGTTATGTTTTTTTGTGTGTTTAATGCAGTGGACTGCTGGAATGGTCCAGATGAACCTGTCATCTACCATGGTCGGACCATGACCTCCAAGATAAAATTTAAGGATGCGGTGAAGGCCATCAATGATCATGCTTTCATAACATCTGAGTTAGTCATCAACAACAACAAAACACATTCAATGACATTATCACTGTGCATTGTAAATGTAACATTCAACACTCTTATTTTAATTCCTTTTGGCAGGTATCCTGTGGTGCTGTCCATAGAAGAACACTGTGATATCAAGCAACAGAAAATGATGGCTCAGATGTTACGAGATGTTTTCCAGGACAAACTCCTGACCGAGCCACTGGATCCAGAAGCAGAACATCTACCCTCACCAAACCAACTGAAGGGCAAGATCATCATCAAGGTAGAAAAAACCTTCAGATTTGTCTGTTCATGTAGTTGAACCAACTTTAAAAGGAAAAACTGCTTCAGTTTCCAACTTAACATGATTCATGAAGATTTTAGAGTCATGATGTGGCAGACTGAGAATATAATTTTTGTTACAGTGCATGATTGTCTATTTTTTCCCTCCAACAGCACCAAAAAATAAAAGAGAGCGATCGCACTGATAAGGTATCCACAAAACACGACACCCTCCTCAAATAGAGCTCAAAATGAAAGCAGCTGGTTATCTCATTCATGTAAAACCAGTCCCAGTTTCATTTGCTCCCACCGATTTACTCACAGCATTTGCCTTACCCTCAATAAATGAAATTTCGGAACTCATTCAAAAATCCAAATCTTCAACCTGCAGATTAGACCCCCTTCTTACTGTTCTTGTGAAGGCCGTTACTCCTTTTCTGTCCCCTCTCATTACAAACATAATTCATTCTTCTCTTACCACTGGAATTGTTCCTTCTTCTCCTAAAACAGCTGCTGTAACTCCAATTCTTAAGAAACCTGGTTCAGATCCCAACAACCTTAATAATTTTCGTCCTATTTCAAATCTTCCATTCATCTCCAAAATTCTTGAAAAAATTGTTGCTGCTCAACTTCATACTCATCTTTCCTACAATAATCTATATGAACAATTCCAGTCTGGTTTCCGTCCTCTTCATAGCACAGAAACGGCACTCCTTAAAATCGCTAATGACCTTCTCCTGGCTGCTGACTCTGGTTTACTATCCATTCTCCTTCTGCTTGATTTGAGCGCGGCCTTCGATAGAATTTCACACACTATCCTTTTAGACAGACTTTCCTCTATTGTATCACTAACACACCTCTTAACTAGCTATCTCTCAGGCTGCACTCAGTTCATTCAGTTACAATTATTCACCTTTCATTCAGTCCCTGTCATTACAGGAGTGCCCCAGGGCTCTGTCCTGGGACCCCTGCTTTTCATTATTGATCTTCTCCCTCTTGGTCACATCTTCTTCGTAAATATCAGATTCAGTTCCATTGCTACGCAGATTACACCCAGCTCTATCTTTCAACCAAACCGAATTCAAAACTTCCACCATCTTCCCTTACTAACTGTCTTCCTGACATAAAATACTGGTTCACTTCAAACTTCCTTAAATTAAATAGCAATAAAACAGAATTGCTTCTTATAGGTACAAGATCAACATTAAACAAACTCCATTATTTTTCTATTCCCATTGATAGCTCCTTCATCTCCCCCTCCCTTCAGGTTAAGAGTCTGGGTGTCATCTTATATAGCACCCTCTCTTTTACGTCTCATGTTAATAATGTTACCCGGTCTGGTTACTATCATCTTCGAAATATCAACCGTCTGCGGCCTTTCCTCACACCTCACTCCACTGCCATTTTTGTTCATAGTTTAGTCACTTCTCGTTTAGATTACTGCAATTCCCTTTTGTTTGGCCTCCCGCTTAAAACCCTCCATATACTTCAAATGGTCCAAAATTCAGCTGGTCGTATTATCACTCGTACCCCCTCTATTCATCACATCACTCCTATCTTACAACAGCTCCATTGGCTACCTATCATTTACCATATCAACTATAAAATACTTCTCCTCACTCATTAATAATCTCGCCCCTTCATATCTTTTTGATCTTCTCCATTTACCTACACCCGCTCGCACTCTTAGATCCTCTTCTTCCATCCATTTCACTGTTCCCCATGTCCGCCTTGTTCCTATGGGGAGCAGAGCTTTCAGTTGCTCTGCTCCTCAGCTCTGGAACTCGCTTCCACCGGACCTCCGTAATATTGATTGCCTCTCACATTTTAAATCAAAACTTAAAACCCATCTTTTTAGAATAGCTTACTCCCTCTGATCACAACTGCATTGTATTTTAAGTGTATTGTCATAGTTTCTACAATCACATAGTTTCTTACTTAAATATTGTTATTGTTTTGTTGATGTATGGTGACCTTGAGTGTCAAGAAAGGCGCCTAAAAATAAAATGCATAATAATAATAAATAAAAAAAACCTAACCCTAACCTAATGTTTAAACTACATCCAGCTCTGATTTGTTTTTCAAAGCTGATATTCAGTAGATGAACTTGCAAACTTAATTAAATAATCCTAGTCACCTTGGTGACTTATAGTATTTTTGTGTAAACACTGATGCAGATTGTCGTTGTATGTGGGTGTGACAGAAAATGGAAAGATCAAACTGATTACATTAGAATGTATCTCGTTTAATGTAGCTATGCCCTCTTTCTAGCATATAACTGAATAAATGCACATTTATGCGCATGAGGTTCTTTTGCATTCGTTTTTTAACATACAGTATGTCATATGGAATTTTATTTGCTCTGAACAGCTGGAGGAAGAAAAGGGAAACGCGGCTGTGAAAAGGAAATTAGACAGCTTCAAGAAAATTGGAAACATTTACAGAGAGAAGGTAAATGTAAAAATAAGTGTCAAAAGAACTGAATGAGGTTTTAAGGGGCATTTTTTTCATATTTTCATATTTCAACACAGATAAGAAATGCTAAAGAAAACAGTGTAATGGAGAAGGAAGGCGAGCTTTGCATCTGGGATTCAATAGATAAGGTGTTTTCAATTAATTTAAATGTAATTGCTTTTTTTGCTGTCCCTTATTCATAGTCAGATAATTCATAATATATATATTTTTTTCTAATGTAGAGGTTTTACAAGCATGACTGTGTGATCTTGGATAATAAGCTGTACTATTCAGAAGAGAAGTGGGAGGAAGACAGTACTAAGGTAAGGGAAGAAGATTACAATCATTGTCTTTGTAAAAACCAGTCAGTTCCACTCCTGTTAAAAAACAAGCCACTTTGAGAAATTGTTCAGTCATGAACTCTTTTTTTGTTGTTGTTGTTGGAAACATTCAGCAGGACGGTTCAGACCTGTACCTGTCAGAGACCTGGTTTCATGGACGGTTGGCCGGGGGCAGAAGAACCGCTGAAAAACTCCTGCGTGAATTCTGTAAAGGGAGGGATGGAAAAGATGGAACGTTTCTGGTGCGAGAGAGTGACACGTTCATCAGAAACTACAGTATCTCCCTCTGGTACTCTGCACATCCTTTCATTACTCTTATGCTTTTTTAAATTTCTTTTTAAAAGGTTTGAAGCTGGGTCCTAATTGAATTTCCTGCCACACCTGTGCCACAAAGGGGCTGTTTACACCTGGCCACTTCATGCGTTTTCTGTGATCGGATAGCTATCCGATCGTGAAAAGACCAGGTGTAAATGCCCTCCGAAACGCATTCGAGACAGATTTGAATCCGATCGCTCAAACCACTTCAGGAGGTGGTCTGGGCCGCATTCCAGACGAAACTGGACAAGTGTAAATGCATCTGGTTGTTGAAACCACATATGTAAATTTTACTCCTCCCAAAAATGCTAAAAAATAAACGTGTGAGAGCGTTTTATAGGCTATATATCATGTTAGTCAGATATGACGGCGCTACTGCAACACGCATCACCGCAGATGAGCAGCTGAGCATCTATTCATCAAGCCAACGAGCAAACTATCGCAAATCAAAGTGAAAGTAAGTTGCAGATGCTTAACACGCAATCATCTTCATTAAAAGTAAAGAAACGAAATGATCTTACCAGGGATGTTGCCGCTCTCTCTTATTGTCCCCTTTGATTTTAAAATTAGCTGATGATCAATAAAATGCAGCTCATATCTGTTGCTTTCGGTGACGTGCACTTCATTAAATCTGCATTTAGCACGGGAATTGAAGATCGGATTTATATCCGTTTTTGCAAAAACACATTTATGTGACCAGGTGTAAATGGAATTGTTTTGATAAATCAGATATCTATTCTATAATAGAATTTACCTCTACTCCTGGGTAGAATACCGTACCGTAATTCTAAATGAACTCAGGGGTTTCCTCCACGAGCAATACCCCCAAGCCGTTCAGGGGCGTAACGGAGCCATTTTTGTACAGACACAGAAAAAACAAACTCAGAGGCCTCCTTTTTCTCCACTTTTCCTTGCTGCTGTAAGGCATCTAGACAAAAAAAAAAAAATTGGAAATGTGACTAATTATAAAATACAAATGTGTTACAAAATTAAGTGAAACTTGAAATTGTATATAATGTTTAAGTTAAAACAAGCAGAATTCAAGCGCGCTTGAGGGTTAGTTCGCCCTAGAATGAAAATTAACAATTTAACGTTACCCACTGTTGGTTTTAGCCACGATGGCATTTGGTAAAAGACAAATAGAAATGTAATATATTATTAGGTAAAATCCTGGCCTTTGGTTTGTACACGGCGTGCGTTCATGTGACTAATAAATGTAACATCGCAGTTCATTCCGACTCAACCAGGAAAAGCAAACAAGTTGTAAGAAATATAGATAAGTAAAAATTAGAAATGAAATTGAGATTTATAATATTAACTTACCTCAAAAAAACACTCCGTCGTTGTCCGAATGCTTCGTCTGTGTGTCTGTTTCGCGCCTGATATGCCGTGCTTGAAATCTGTTATGCCGCGCTTTGATCTGATTGGCGGTTGGCATGCAACCAATGAGTGTCAACCAGTGGAGGAATTTAAGCTGACCAAAAATCATCATTGATTCAATGTTTGTCTTTTCAACACTGAAAAACATTGAAATATCAACATTGATTCAATATTATTTTAGCATTGAATTTTCAACCTCAACCAAAATGATGATTCTGATGGAATTTCAACATTTAATCAATGTCACCTTGCTATCTGGGATAGCTATCCGATCTGAGAAAACGCATGAAGTGGCCAGGTGTAAACAGCCCCAATATGTGCTGCATATAATACAGAATCTTACATTATGTGGTCCAACAAAGGCATTTTTAAGTTTATATATCTATATATATATATATGCATGCAGTGGGGAAAACAATTTTTTGATCCCCTGCTGATTTTGTACGTTTGCCCACTTACAAAGAAATTTTTATGGTAGGTTTATTTGAATGGATAGAGACAGAATATCAACCAAAAAATCCAGAAAAACACAATATATAAAGGATATTGTATAAATTGATAAGCATTTAATCGAGTGAAATAAGTATTTGACCCCCAACCAACCAGTGAGAATTCTGCCTCCCACAGTTTTGTTATGTGCCCATGTGGAACAGAGATTAGTCAATTAGTCAATTAGGGGATCAAATACTTATTTCCATGATTAAATGCTAGTCAATTTACAACCTTTATATAATGTGTATTATGTGTTTTTCTGGATTTTTTGGTTGATATTCTGTCTCTATCCATTCAAATAAACCTACCATAAAAATTATAGACCCTTCATTTCTTTGTAAGTGGGCAAACTTACAAAATCAGCAGGGGATCAAAGAATAATATTTCCCACTGTATACTGTTAAAATGTTCCTTAGACTGATAATTTTCACAAAGAGAAATAATGCAAATAGAAAATGTTGAAATAATAATATAGCTACTGTATGCTCTCGGTAGGACGAGTGGGAGAATTCAGCACTACAGAATCTTCTGGTCCTCAGAAAATGGTCACACATCCTTCTTTTTGACAAACAAGCAGTGTTTTCCAAGTATGTGTGCCTTGATCGAGCATTATAGACAAAATCTGATTGAGTATGATGGATTCAACTTGCGTCTTACGAGTTTCCTGCCTCGGCTCAATTTTGTGTCTCACCACCATAGGGGGTAAGAAGAAAACATGAATTTCAATTTAAATCTTAAAACACTCCTTCATACACACAGATTTCAATGGCATCATTTTTTTTTGTCACGGAAACTAGTAGAAACATCTGGAGATGTTTGTGTTGTCGTCTTTAGGTGGTTTTACAGTAACCTGAGTCGAGCCGAAGCAGAAGACTATCTTCTGAGGATCCCTCGAGATGGAGCCTTCCTCATCAGACAGAGAGAAGAGCCGGACACCTTTGCACTTTCAATCAGGTTTCTTCGTTTTTTTCCTTTTTATTTCCTTACTATCCTCATAGACACTTAGGTTTTTTCTCTGTTCGTATCTTAATTTGTTCATTTGTTACTCAGAGTTGAAGGGGATATCAAACACTTTCTGATATGCAGAGACAACAGCAAGTATGTGCTGGCAGACATCTACGAGTTTTTTAGCCTTGAAGACATGGTCAGGTGTTTCCGTGAGCATATTTTACAAGACAAGATAAAACTACGCTACCCTGTAACACCACAATTAGTGGAGCGCTTCTATATGGTGAGAGAAGAGCCACAGAGCCACTTCAATTATTCCTATAGGAGATACAACATTGTGACCATATGAAAGCTATAGTTGATAACTTTTTCCTTTGCAGGAGGATCTCTCAACATATGATAGTGAGCTGTACAGTGAGGTATGTTTGGCCCTAAAAAGTATTTGGAAACTTAGTATAAGTTTATAATATCCTACATTTTAAGGGTATCTTAAAATATATATATATGGCAGCTGACCATACATCTACTAAAATAATTAAATAATTGATATTGAGTATATTAAATTATTTTAATTAATTATTTTCAATATGATATATTTATTATATTTCTAAAATAATTATATAATATTAAAAATAATTAATTAAAATAATTGATTATACTGAATATATTTAATATTATACTGTCATATTTAATACTATATATATATATATATATATATAGCCTATACAGTCGTGCTCAGAATTAATGGCACCCCTGGTAAATATGATCAAAAATGGCTGTAAAAAATAAATCAAGACAGAACTGAGCTAATTGACAGAACACAGACAAAGACAGAAATCAAAACAGACTGACAATGTGACATGATCCTTCAGAAATCATCCCAAAATGCTGATTACCTACTCAAGAAACATTTATTTTTATTACTATCATTATTATTATTATTATTTTTTACTGCTTAACATTTTTGTGCGTACTACCTACGGTGGCCCAGTAGTGCACAACACAACGACATTTAAAAAGCAAACATAAGTTCACAACACAACGGAATTAAGCCACAACACAACGGAAAATCTACAACACAACGAAATAAAGCCGCAACACAACGGAAATGCTCCCGACCACTAGAGGGCTCTCGGGCGCGATAAAGTTAGTTTTCCTTGCCATTGTTCAATAGAGTCAGTCAGCAGTCTATAAAAATATATCAACACCACGATTAGTTTTAACAGTATGTATAGCTAACCATCATTCAAAATCACCTACGTGCATTATTGCTGCATATTTATATTTTTTATATTTATAGAACGCTTTGACGCGCTACCACAGCGCATGATCCCTAAGGGAACGTCTGTCAATTCCTCCAAGTTGTTAAAACATATCATTTGTATTAATTAAAATTACGAATACCCTTCATGTATTTACAGTAAACAATTATTTTTTAGGAGATTTCTGTAAAAGTTTTTTTTTTCTTTTATATGTTTCAACGGTTGTAGTTCCTATTAACTCTCTGGGGTCGGCGGTCTCGCCGGCGATACCAGCTCACTTTTTTCCTTATCAGTGCAAAAGAGACTCAAATTACTCTGTTAATTTTGATCTTACATATAAGTGTTGTACATCATTAGATCCTGTTAAGTTTCTATTTTTTTTGTGGATACTCACAATAAAAACAAAGTGTTGTGCTTTTCACCAAATAAAGAAAAACAAACATGATGCGAGTTTTGCGTTCTCTCTGTCAGTGAAGTCCATTCTGAAACGCGTCCTAAGATTAACTGTAACTCCGCGATTACTTGTCACACAGGCACGAGAGGTTTTTCTTTATGAAGCTTGAATTCTCTTCTTTTAAATGAAGTAATTTATATAAAAAACAAATATTCTCAGTTTATGCAATCTGTATGAAAAGAGAGTGCTGTCAGTATTTTTTCCCCCAGCTCATTACACTTCATTACGCGTTAATCTGACACGCCCACGGACGACGCGCGCTATTCAAACGCAAATGTCGAGGCAAGCCATGACAACGCCCACATCAGCTGTTCCACCGCGGCGGTAAAATGTGTGGTGTATTTGCTGCCTTTTACCACTAAGAGGCGCTACAATCATAGACTCTGAAAAGTGTTCGTTTATTCCGGTTTATTCTCTCTAATGCGTAATCTGCTGCCGCACCGCGCTGATTCAGAGCGATTGAAAGCTGGTAGCAGAAGAATTCAACAAGTGAAACGTAGTTAAAATAATTCATAATCACAATACTGAAATTAGGCTACTGAAATGTAATTGAATAAATAATGAAAAGGCTAATCTTATTCTTGCGACATTTTAAATTTGTATTGCCAAAGAAATTACAGCTAAATTAAACAATTAAAACAGTACAAAACGAAAATTGTCCAAAGAAACATAATTAAATTAAAAACATGCGTTTCTCTTTGCCTCTCTCGCGCTGGATCTCTTTTTAACAAGTTTATTTAGTCTCCCTCGCTGCGCGCGCGGGTCTCTCTCTCGAAATTAATCATTTCAGGGTAAAAACACATCATACAGCTGATAATACTGTATATGTCGCTGCGTGTCAGCCATACAAATCACGAAAAAATTATTTAACCTTTAATTGTTGCTTCAAAGACACAGCATGCCTTGTTGAATTCACCTTACAATAACTTCAATTGAAATTTTGTGTGAAAAAAAAACTTTAAATAGGCTACAATAAATAAACTACAATATTTATAATTTAATAAGATATGGGGCCTACATTTGGACACAGATTTATCCTTACAATAATTTTGCCTGCTCATCAGGCTGGCTATCCGACACTCTCCATATGAAAGAGGAACATTAACACCTTTGTCCAGCAACTGTCCCTCCAACCCCCCACAGGCTATCGGAGTCTGAGGCTGACTTAACACAAAGAGAAGTCGCAATTCACACTTAAATCGCCATTCTAGACAGTGTTGATAATGAAGGAATTAAATGATTTAAGTTACATGTAGCCTAGTGATATTTCTGTCATAAAAGTTTATTACTAAATATTTCATTATTTCAATAATTGATGAAATAAAACTGGTTTGGGGCAGCTTTTTCCAAGCAAAACTAAATATAATCTGAAAAAACGCTTGTGAATTTGTTGTCACTTAATATTAAAGTCTACAGGGATCTTTGGATCCTTACAACCAGGCATGCAATTTGTGAATTAAGTTTTTATTTTATTTTGTATTATTCAAATAAATATCGAAACACGGTGCTTCGTGGTAATGCTGCTAAATTAAATAACATTTATAGAATAATTATGAACTTAAATGAAACAATATCGCAACATTTCGACAAATACATTATTATGTTTTTACATTTTAATTCAGGGCGATTTAGCCTACATTTAATTAGAGCGAGATTTTCACCCATGTCTTGTCATTTTCTCATTGGGAAGCGCATGTTTGAGTAGATCCTCTGTACCTCTCGTTTTCATATGGATTAGCCTACATAATCAGATAACATTTATTAGCCTAAATATTTAGACATTTAAAGGCTTTAGACATAGCCGATTTCTTATCGTGACTGAGCTGAAGTGGCTTTCGGTTCATTTTTGTGACGCGCAGTTCCCGGAGACAGAGAGGACAGATATACTGTTTTTGTCGTTAGCCTAATATGAATACAAGTTTACAGTTTTGAACGATGTAAGCTACTCTACTCTTATCTGTATGACCAAAAAATTACGGAGTCGCCTATTAAGTTATTTTAGCTGTAATAATGAGATAAATAAATTAATCTAAATGAACGCGCCGCCGCGTTTGTCGAACACTAACTCACGATGCCAGAATAAAACCCGACTTTAGAAAAATGCATGGTCACTCGGCGTGGTGTGCCAAAACACTTAATTATAAACTTCAATATTTCATTCAAAATAATCTCAACACGCTTTGTGAAATTTTGAAAAGCCGTGCATGCATTAAGGCCACTGGAACTAATGAACAACTGAAACGCTGGTTTTGATTTTATTGTTTTTCGTTTAAACGTGCCTGTTGCATATCTCTATTTTATATATTTGATATTGGTGAAGTAGCCTATAGCATTGATTAGCTGTGGAGGGAGGGGTGTGGGGATTAAAATAATTCAGCAGAAGTAGGGATGTTTAGACCAGAAGGAAATCCCAGTCCCCCCTGGCAAATCACACTTTACTTAAAACCATGTTTTTAAAAACTCTAGGTTGTAGGGAACAGACCTCTCTGCCATGCGCGCGCACGGTTTGGAGCACAATATCTGTCTCGCATGCACGCTCGCTCTAAATAGATTACGGGATATTTTAACTAATTTACGGTATAACTAGTCGATCACGAGTGGCTCAACAGGTAGATCTATAGATAAACTATATCTTTCAGGAATTTGACCGACCGGGTTGACACTTCAGCGTGAGAAATCGGGGGGGTGGCGTGAGAGCCTGGAATAAATAAATAAAAAAATATATATAGCCTATATAAAACAAAACTGTATGGTGTAACAGAGTTTTAGAGCTAGACAAATCTCTCTGCAATAATAAATATAAAATATACAGCAGACCATGTTTGTGCGGGATTTGAACCTGTGTCATCTTGATGATGAACCATCAGTTCTACCGCTCGGCTATGAATTTTGTTACTGAGAAATAACCAAACGTTTGATTCTCACATGAGCGAGAAAACGTTTTGTCTTTAGCCTGTGAGTGTAGGCCTACTTTAACCTTTTACAGTTTTAAAAGATTATATCTTATCTGTATGACCAACAATTTGTTGTAGGCTTATTTGGAAATTACCATAACTTGTAGTATTTCATCCTTAGGCTACTGTTAATAGACATTAGCCCCACTTACGTTTTGCTAAATGTCCCTTTGCGCCACCTGGCGGTCATTTCGCGTACGACTTTGAAATGCGACTGGTTTATTTTTACCGCGGTGGATGGCTAAAAATGGTATGTGGATGGCTAAAATGTGTGACTAAAAATGTGCTTTTGGCTTTCATTTATATTTTGATTGTTTGTATATATATATATATATATATATGTATATGTATATGTATATATATATATATATATATATATATATATATATATGTATGTATATATATGTATGTATATATATATATATATATATATATATATATATATATATATATATATAATGAGCCTTTCATTCAGGGGTGTCACACAAGAAAGAATGCAAGGACAATATATATATATATATAAATAAATAAATATTTATATACACACACACACACACACACACACACACACACACACACACACATATATATATATATATATATATATGTGTGTGTGTGTGTGTGTGTGTGTGTGTGTGTATATAAATATTTATTTATTTATATATATATATTGTCCTTGCATTCTTTCTTGTGTGACACCCCTGAATGAAAGGCTCATTAGTATGCAGTCTGCTCAGGTGAGAACTGCCTAATTATTCATGAGGGGGTTGGGCCGATCCGCCCATCCGCATATTGCCTTTGCAAACAAAAAAATGTTTTTCACAATTTAAAACAATCTATTGTTTTATGTGAATGATTAGCCAGAATGATTTTCAGATCAATTTGAAGCAAATACTCTAGGCGACAACATCCACTAGTCAAAAGTCTTGTGGACAGATATTTAGTATGTTATTTGTGGCCATATATTAGAAAATTTATTTTTTAGTTTTTTCAATAACCACGCATAAACAATATTCTCTCAAAAATACAAACATGTACATACATGTTGCTCACATATAATGGTAGCCCTGTGTGTGCTATATAGAGTGTAATTTCACCTGTGCCATTAATATGTTTATAAGCAACTGAAAAATGCACAAATGTCAGAGCATGCCAAAACATCTCAAGGACCCCGAAAACACCTCAGACCCCAGAGGGTTAACCAGACTGACTTATTACAGGCGGAATTGTGCCATTACTTTCCTGTAATTCTGCAATTCGCCAAATGGTTTTTATTTTTATTTATCAAATAATATTATAATAAATTATACGTTTTAACCACTTGGTGGAATTAGCAGACGTTCCCTTAGGGGTGTGGTAGCGTGTCCAAGCATTCTTGTGTAGTTTATTTTGAAGTAGCTAATATTTTATATCGATATACAATGGTTACACTTAAAACTAATCGTGGTATTGATATATTTAGACTGCTGACTGACTCTATTGAACAATGGCTGAAAACTAACTTTATCGCGCCCGAGAGCCCTCTAGTGGTCGGGAGCATTTCCGTTGTGTTGCGGCTTTATTTCGCTGTGTTGTAGATTTTCCATTGTGTTGTGGCTCATTTTCCGTTGTGTTGTGGATTCATTTCGTTGTGTTGTGGCTTATTTCCGTTTTGTTGTGGCTTAATACCGTTGTGTTGTGAACTTATGTTTGCTTTTTAAATGTCGTTGTGTTGTGCACTACTGGGCCACCGTAGTTACGCAATGATACCATTCAAACATTGTGGTAAGGTTTTTTTTTTTAAAGAGAGAGCAATTAATACTTTATTCATCAAGGATGCATTACATTGATCAAAAGTGACAGTGAAGATGTTTAATATTACAGAAGATTTCTATTTAGTAAATGCTTTAATAAATGTAATAAATACATTTAATAAATGCAAATGAATGCTGTTCATTGAACTTTCTATTAATCAAAAAAGCCTGAAAAAAGTATCAACATTTCCACAAAAATGAAGCTGCACAACTGTTTTCAACATTGATAATAATAAAAATAAGAAATGTTTTTTGAGCACCAAATCAGCATATTAGAATGATTTCTGAAGGATCATGTGACACTGAATTCAGCTTTGCATTACAGGAATAAATTACATTTAAAATATATATTCAAATAGAAATCATTTATTTTAATTTGTAATAATATTTCGCAATATTAATGTTTTTACTGTATTGTTGAGGAAATAAATGCAGCATTGGGGAGCAAAAGAGACTTATTTCAAAAACATAATTTTTAAAAAAAAATTCCAACTTTTCAGTTAAATGTAAAAATATGATTTTATTATTAACATATTATTGAGTAAAATATTATTATTTGCGAAACTTTACATACATAATCAATTATTTAAATAAATTATTTTTTAATATTATTAAGCATCTGACATGCATTTACTAAAAATAATTCATTCAAATAATTGATTAAAAGTCATTGCATCTATTTAATAAAGTTATGTAATGAATATGAATTTATATAATTAATATTTTATATTAATATTATATACTTGATATATATATATATATATATATATATATATATATATAAAATGTATTCAAATACAAATGTATGTATATACATATTTGTATATATGACAATTGAGCTCAGTGATTGTTTCAGGTCGCTGAAGACAATCCCTTAGGTGTCCAATGTAAAGGTGTGGTGGACATCTCTATGTGTAATGTTGGTAAGAGTTTCTTTGTCACCTGTGTGAATTGATTGCACACACACACACACACACACACACACACACACACACACACACACACACACACACACACACACACACACACACACACACACACACACACACACACACACACACACTCAGCTACACACACACACACACACACACACACACACACACACACACACACACACACACTTTGCGTAGTTGTGACTTGCATAAAAAACCTCACCAATTCTCTGCAGATACTATAAGAAAGTCCTCAATGTCCTATGAAAAAAGCCCCTTATGGTGAACAAAATATAAATTAAGACTGTTTCTTGTTGATTTGAATGGGTTCTCCTCAGCTCGCAAAGCCAAACATGCCAGATACCTCGTGGTGACCCTAATGAACAAGGAGAATTTGAGGCAAACCGAGTTCACGTGTGAGATCTTGGAGCAGCTGGACGAATGGTACCAGGTGATTCTCAACATCATCCAGAGAGAGCAGAGTTTGGAGAAAGCGGTTCGTATATCTGTCTTTCACAAGAGATGCCACACAAACTCACATTCAATTTCTGTTATTGTGCTTGATTATGAAATATAGTGTACTGTATTTTTCTGCATATATTTATATAGCTTTGATGAGTCCTGTGAAGAATAGAATATCTGTGCACTGACAATATCTCCCTTACTTCTCAAAATAGAGAATAGCAGAAATGGAGTCCAAAACCAACATAGCTATTGAGATGTCAGACATGGTGGTGTACTGTCAATCTATCAAAAAGAGCACATTTGGTATGTAATTTCCAGAACAGTGCATGAGCGAAACATGAAAAAATCTGAAACAAACTACAATGAAAAGCATCTGTACTGTATCAAACACATCAACATTAAGCAACAATTTCAAAGCCACATTTAAAACATTACAGAAATGTTTTGAGGTGAGTGAACCGGACATTTCATTTCATTTATTATTCCATTCTGCACTTTTATGACCTCTCAGAAAAATACAACTACAAAGAGGTTCGCTCCGTCAAGGATAACATGATTCCAAAAGAGGGGAATGAAACTGGCGTGGAGAAATCAGACAGCATTCTGGAGTATAACCGCACAGCTCTCACCCGTGTGTATCCCTCCGGAGGGCGAGTTGACTCTTCCAACTTTGACCCTTGTCCTTCATGGAAATTAGGCTGCCAAATGGTGGCTCTCAACTTCCAAACTGCTGGTACGTGAAAGAAGAGAGAGAGAGAGAGAGAAAAAAGGATCTTATGCTTACCAAGGCGGCATTTATTTGACCAAAAATACAGTAAAAACAGTAATATTGTGAAATATTATTACTATATAAAATAGTTGTTTTCTATTTAAATATATTTTAAAATATCATTAATTCCTGTGATGGCAAAGCTGAATCTTAAGTAGCCATTTCTCCAGTCCTCCAATCCTCAGTGTCACATGATTCTTCAGAAATTATTCTAATATGTTGATTTGTTGGTGAAGAAAACGTTCTTATTATTACCAATGTTGAAAACGGTTGTGCTGCTTAATATTTGATAATAATACATGATATATTTTTTGCAGGATTCTTTGATGAATAGAAAGGTCAAAAGCACATTGTTTATTTAAAATATCTATATTTTTTGGAACATTATAACTTTGCTGTCACGTTTGATAAATTATTGTATTCTTCTTGCAGAATTAAATGTATTAAGTTCTTTTAAAAAATTATATATATATGTATATAATTTATATAAAATTGATGTGTGTATATACATAACTTGAATGTGTTGTGGCTTGTCTTATCCGCTTCCAGTTATTTTAGCTGTACAAAAACAGTCCCTTATGCTGCTTGAGATTGCAAACGGCTACTTTTTATACTATTTTAATTTATTATCGTACTCATAAACATTGTTTGGAGCGCAAATTATTTTAACATCTACAGCAATTTGTTGTTTCTTCCCGTTTTCCAATGTTCATGTGGGAGTAACAAACCTATGTACTCCAGGGGGCGATAGAGGGCTATGTTAACAATTCTGTTTGGAAGGAATGAAAGGCATAGTTCATCCAAAAATGTAAACTAGAGTCATCATTTACTCACCGTCATGTTGTTCCAAACCTGTATGATTTTCTTTCTTCCGTTGAACACAGAAGAAGATTTTTTGGTTACCAGTTTTTCCCACTATGGAATGGCGCTATCCTCATCTGGTTACAGACATTCTTCATATCTTCTTTTGTGTTCAACAGAAGAAAGAAACTCATACAGGTTTGGAACAACATGACGGTGAGTAAACGATGAAAGTTTTCATTTTTGGGTGAACTATCCCTTAACCACATGTGGTATTATAACTCAGTATTCAGCTAGCTAAACATCTTGACTTTCCTGTAAGATTCTTGTGAAGTTATTGCTCCACCATGACTGTACTTGACCTTAGAAGAAGAGTTTACACTAATGTCTGCTCTATGATTGTTAAACTTCAGAACCGGTCTCTATAAATGTGTCTAATAAATCTTAATGGCGTCTCTCTTCAGATAAGTTCATGCAGCTGAACAGTGCTCTCTTCAGTCTGAATGGAGGCACAGGTTACGTGCTTAAACCAGAGTGGATTCGAAATCCAACCAAGAAGAAGCCTCCTAAACAAAACATCCGAATCAGAGTAAATACCCATGTTTATTCAGTTTGACGTTTTATCTAGTTCTAGAATGATGGCTGATGATACCACGCAATGTTAAAGGGCTAGTTCCAACAAAAAAGAAAATTCTGTCATTAGTTACTCACCCTTGTGTTCTTCCAAACCCAGACTTTCGTTCATCTTCAATCATATCTTTATTTGTGTTTTGATGATGAGCGAAAGTCTTATGGGTTTGGAACGACATTAGGGCGAGTCATTATTGACAGAATTTTCATTTTTGGTTGAAAGATCCCTTTAAAGGAATAGGAATGACATAATCATTTGCGAACCTATATGTCATTCCAAAGTTTTCTAAATGTAATTTTCTTTGGTTCCCTTCAGGTGATAGCAGCCAGGCATCTGCCCAATCCAGATCACATCATCAGTCCTTTTGTGCAGGTTGAGCTGTGGCCGTACACAGGAAGTCAAGCAGATGACTACATTTTCAAGACTACTATGTTCAGTAAGGAAGTGGAAAAGAGAGTTATTGAGAGAAAAATTGTTTTAGATTACAGTAGTGTTGTTGAATGTTGGTACTGTACCTTCACAGAGGATAATGGACTAAATCCAGTGTGGCTGGGCCCAATGAATCCACCAAAATGCTTTCAAGTAGATGAGCCGGACCTGGCCTTCCTGCGCTTTGTGGTTTTTGAGGAGGACACATTTTCTGATGCTAAGTTTCTTGCACATGCCACTTTTCCTATCAGAGGTATTCGCTCAGGTAAATCCACCCAATGGTTTTGAGCCACCAATATGCCTTGAAAATATTTAATTATTTTAGTGAACTGACGAATTATATATATATATATATATATATATATATATATATATATATATATATATATAGGCCTATATATATATATATAATTCAAGCATTTTGAGCATTTATCTTCCACACTTCTGTTTACACGGCACTGTTTTCAATTAAATACTGAAAACTTTTTATGCCTTTTTGGCCGTTCATTTACACGACAGCAGCGTTTTGGGGGCCTGAAAATGGAAACTTTTGAAAACGGGATGCAATATCGTCATCGTCTCCGTGTAAACTCTTAAAACGTGAATTTTTGAAAATGGTGACGTCAAGCGCATGCATTATGTGTTCAGTGGGTTTGGGAAACCCAGAATTTGAAGCATTGATTTTATTACCTTTCTTTCATAATATTGAGCCTCTTTATTTACAGTCTCCAAAGGTCTCTGAGCTGTTGCATTTCACTTCTGCTATTTTTGTCTTTTTATTAGGGTATCGTTCTGTCCCACTGAAGAACAGCTTTAATGAAAACCTAGAGCTTGCATCTCTTCTGGTGCATGCACAGCAGTTAGAGGTGAGAAACACACACACAAACGGATATCTTTCTCTCTTAGGGCCTCATTTATAAAACGTGCATAGATTTGATTTTAGGGTGTGCGTACGCTCAAAAAGACAGATACAGCTTCCGAAGACTTAGAAAATAGAGCAGAAATTGCTCTGACTACTTTTACCATCATTTATATAACACCTGGAATATATTTAATTCACTACTGTAGGGTGACTGGGCAGACCATGTAAATGTGAGCAGTCATTTTAATGTATTCAGGATTATGTTAGAATAAGCTGTATTAGCACCTTAGATTTAATAAAGACATTTTAAGATTAATGAACATTAAAGGGATAGTTCACCCAAAAATGTAAATACTGTCATCATTTACTCACCCTCATGTCATTCCAAACCTGAACGAAAGCCTTACAGGTTTAGAACGACATGAGGGTGAGTAAATGACATAATTTTCATTTTTGGGTGAACTACCCCTTTAACCTTGAGACTACTGATATAAAAGCAGTAACACCAGTCCAACCTACAATTTTACCGCTTCCTCGTTCCAGTCAGTAATGAAAAATCTGTTTTGTCAACAGGTGTAAGGTAAATAGCAAGTCTTAACCACCAGGAACTAGCCGACCAGTCAATGTAAATATGGACTTGACTCACTATGGACTGTGGACTTCATTGCAGAAATACATTTAACTGCTGTGATAAACCGAATGAGATCTAAATAAACTGTATATATATTTGTATTACTTAAAATATATGCACATTTGTTCACATGCTCATGTTTTCTGGTTCATAATGATACCCGATAACAGAATTTCCTTTTCTCCCTAATGCATCCTTACATCTCAAAATAACATCACGTTAAAAAACGGGTGCATATGTTGGGAATATGAAAACCCCCATTTTTTTAACGGGTAAAATGCATCAATAAAAAAGCTTTGAAAGCTTTCTATTTGAAACATATTCACAGACAGTTTATTTTGATTGAAACTGGTTCACATATTAGGCTTATTTTCCTGTTGAAGGTTGTGTGTTCTCATTACAACAGCCACAGAGCAGCAGCAGCAACCCAGCTGTAGATAGAAGCAGAAAAACACAGAAGAAATAAGGGCAGAAGTTCTATCTGCAAAAAACTCCAGGAGTCATGGATAATGTAGTTCATTCTGTATGTACAAGCCTGTGCTGCAGGGGCCGCGAGGACCCCAGCCACATCATATTAAGACTCGGTCTCAATTCAACATTACAAAAAGCGCTTTTCAAAGAAAACAAGAAAAATAAAAGCTGAAATTAATGAGACGTTATATGTTGATAAGGAGACATTGGAAACACAGATAGCACAGTGAGCTCCACAGGATATTACAAAATAATCAGGAAACAGTTGACTAAAGTATAAACTGGATTTCCACCCCAATAGATTAGCCATCAGTCCGAAGAGATGGTTTCTTTTTTAACAAAATGAAGGCTGAGGGGGAAACCCAGCCCCCTAATCCTTCCCCGCACAGAGAAAAATGGTCCACTGTTAGGACTGAAGACCATTACAAAGTGTCAGTCACATTACCACGGCTTGAGTTTCAGCAGTGTACAGAATGGCACAGTTTCTAGCCACTCACGAACGCACCTTAATAACACACATTCCCAATATAATCCATCGGTTTACTCCATGCACGAAAACTCTGTCCATATTTCACTTTTAGAAACACGTATTGATCCATATGGTAAGTGGTTGAAGGGGGCTAGTGCTGTTACCCTTTATATTTAAATCCGTATGATCAAATTGCAACAAACAAAAGAAACAAAACAGGCAACAAAAATGGATTAAACATATACAGTCTAATAAAAAAATTCAAATAAAAGACCTGAACGCAATGACAGTACACTTGGCCTGGGGGCGGGAAGGGGAACAAAATTAGGAGACCATATGCACGCACGCATCTCAAAAAGTGAAGGCAACAAAGAGTCTCCCAAAAACATGAAAGAGAAATGGGAAATTATATACACTCATATGTACATTATACAGTATGCAAGATGGCAGGAGCCCAGGACTGAACGCTCCCCTCTGGACGGCATCTACATCTGTTGTGAAATCGAATGTGCACACACCAAGCAGGACCTACAAAAACTGCTACTTTCAAGACCGGCCACATGGACGTGGCAGCGACTCTATCTAGATATAGTTTAAAGTGGGAGTGGAGACAGACACGCCTTTGTAAACATATGAAAAACTCGAGTTAGGACGGCAAATTGATTGTTTTATTTCTGACCGTCTTCATAAGATCTTTTTTTTTTTACTACAAGATCGGTCTCATTTCTCTACAAGTCAAGATATTGTATGTAACTTATTACAGTGGTCATAAACTATACGTTCGCAGAGACGTTAATCAAAACAAAGCGAGAAAATGAAATATAAAAAGGTTAAACTGCATAACATCGCACAAATCTTGGCTCGATTTGATATAAATATGAGGAACATTGTCAACCGTTGTGGCAGGACACTCTTTGTGGACTCCTATTGACCACTAGAGGCAAAGTTTACAGAGAATAATAAAGCCTATTAATCTGTTTAAAAGTCCATAATGTCTCTATGTACAACTTAGCTGACTTTCCTCAGAGTTGCTAGGTGATGCAATCTTTTACAGAAAATGTTTTAGGCACCATCTTGGTTCAGTACGTTTGACAAAAGTACGTAATAAAAGAAAAAAGGACCAGAAGGGGGGGAGGGGGCTCATAAATACAAAGTAGTCCCAGACTACTTCCTGGATGACGTTTTCTTAAATATGGGTGTGAAATAAAAATTACACTGTACAATGTAGCTAAAAAAGGAGAGAGAAGAAAAAAGGAAAAGAAAATGACAAACAAAAACTTTTTTTTTTTGAGAGAGAGAGAGAGAGAAGCCCCTGAAATGTTTGCATTAAAAATGGGGATACGTCGATTTTCTTTACAAACACACATATGAAAGCAGTGTATGGAAAAATATGCTTATTCAAGTTGATAAAAAATGATTTTCAGAGAGCGATAGATATATAGAGATGAACATGTCAAGAAGTGAACATTGTTAACAGACACATTATACACAAGAAATCTCTGTGAGGATGCAAAAATGACAGATTTTGATCCGACAGGACCAAGCACACATGTAACGAAGAGCAGGAAAAGAAAAGAAAAAAAAACGATGTGGAAATTGGTTTTCCACAAAGGAGGTGATATCAAAACTGTACTGGAATGTGGCTCTGAATATTCAGGCCTTCACCAGACGCTGGTACCACAGGGGAATTGGCTCCAGGTGGTTCAAGGAGAAAGGGAGAAATCAACCCTGTCTTCTATGGGGACAAAAAAAGAGACGCCAGTTATAGGTTAAAACGAGGGACATGGTTCCTCTGAGGGGGTTTGAGATAAAGGCGAGAACGAGATAAAGTCCCCAGGCGATGTCGCTAGAAAGGTTCCTGTGCTGTCTGATGATGTCTCAGGACATATTCTTGCATTGTGATGCCACTACAAAGAGCGTCCTCAGATTTGGATGAGACACTAGATGATTCTTAAACGTTTATGATATTATAAGAAGGTCCTTGTCGTTTGAATGATGTTCCTATAAATACAGTCCTCGTTTCTTGATTATGTTGTGTTCGGATGATGTGTCAGCGTTTTCCTGTGTCTATAAATCTCCTTGAGCATTGTGTTCACCACGCCTCTGTGTAGCGAACATCCACTTCCTTTAGATTGGGTAGTTTCACCTGTGGGTAGGATCGGAGAGAGAGGTTTAGATATTGAGATGCTTAAATGCGACATCCCATACAGGAACATAGTGTTGGCCCAGATCCGGTACACGTGGATTCCACACATACCAGATGTGGGCCGGATCTGGGCCGACACTATGTTCCTGTCTGGGATGTTCCTGGTTCAACATGCTTTGTCGTTCCTGGAAAACATTCTTATCGGCCCGTCATTCTCTGATTTTAGTGTCAAGGGTACAATTGATTGATCTATTGTTGAACCAGGAACAAGTTTTACTTGTGTAAATCACATTGTGCACATAGGCAATAAACAATTGGCTGCGTGATAAGATTTAAAAGTGAATGTGTAATTTATGCACCATTAGTGTCACCAAATGGAATTGGGATTTTATGTTTTTGAAAGAAGACATCAAGCCTCTTACCTTCAGGTCCTCATAGGTGTCTGCAGTGAGTTTAGTACTGTTCATATTCAGGCTGCACAGGCTTTTCATAGCTGCAAGGTAAAGTTGAAATAAGTTAGTTGTCCTACATGTTAACTAATATATAAACCATAAATGTGAGTCCAGACACACACTAAAGGCTCTTTACAATCAAACATTTTTTGTTTTTGTTTACTGCATTTGTTAAATGGATAGTTCGGCAATTTTTTTTTAAATACTGTCACTTACTCGGATACTTAGACCCATACAACATGAATAGATGATGGTTTATATGTCTACGCAAAAGAAAAAAGAAAAGCTGGGTAAAGTGAAAGGACCTGACTGAAATTTGAAAGCTGATGATCTTCTCCTATTAAATCTCATTTGTACTTGTGGTCAAATTGTGGCCAGGCATAACAGCACGTCTGACTTCACTGACGACAAAACCCACTGGTTCTTGTGTGCGTTACGTGACGTGGCAAAATTAAAAACACGACAGCAAATGGCATTTGACATTTACGGCAGAGAGGAAAATTATCTGCGAACGTCACATTTTATGATACTTTGGAGCTTGACGGTATGAATCACCATCAACTTTTGTAACTGTATATGAAAAACAGAAGCTCGGACATTGTGTTCTTATTTTTTCCACAAAAGAAAGTAAGTCATACTGGTCTGGAATGACATGAGGGCGAGTAAATCATGACAGGATTTTCATTTTTGGATGATTTTGGACACCTTTTGGACTCTTCAATTCAGCAGCAGCTGTTTTTTAACAGTTCAGAATGAAGGTAGCTGGATAGAAGATGTGTGTAATGCGCTCTTACAGCTGAGGGAGAGCAGGCCAGCGTCCGTGACTGGAGTCTCACACAAGTTCAAAACCTGCAGACAGGCCAGATGCTCTGAGAGCAGACGGAGCCCTGCATCTCCAAACTGAAAAAGAGAAAACACAAACCAAGTCAATTAAAAGTCAATAAATGTTTGAGAAATTAACCAAAAAAAGAGTATACTTTTATTCAGTAAGGACACAGTAAATTGAACAAAGGTGAGAGTATTATAATACTGATCATAATAATTTGTAACATTATAATTCTAAGGGCTGCATTTACCTCACATTGACAATTTTTGGGCAGCCCCAATACCCCTACAAACGTTATATATATATATGGTCTAAAATGCGTGCGATAATTCATTCACGATTGAGGCGGGGTGGAGTTATGATGTTTTACCAACAGTTTGAGGAGCCAATGGAGTTACGAGGTTTCATCTCTGTTCAACACTGTTTCATTAGTTAAATATTTGCAAAACCCGCAGACAGACATAAAGGGTCCATTACTCAAGGACGATACACGAGTAATGATTTATTTAAAAAAAGATGAAATATGGAGATACAAGGTTTTTGCCTGACAGCAACAATATTTTACATTTTGTGGCTTGCAGTGTTTTAGCATTAGAGTGAGATAATAATAATCATTTAAAAAATATGATTTCTCCTCTGTAATCGGGCCCTCCTGGACGTGCGAGCATAGGCACGTGCCTAAAATGCCTATGCATAAATCTGGCCCTGATACCAGTATTATAACTATAATGTAATTCCACAAAAATATTAAGCAGCACAATTGTTTTCAACATTGAGAATAATAAGAAATGTTTCTTCAGCAGCAAATCGACATATTAGAATGATTTCTGAAGGATCATGTGACTGAAGAAGAGTGGAGTAATGGCTACAGAAAATTCAGCTTCATCACAGAAATCG